GTCTTCTTTTCCGTCGCTAAAGTTTCAACAACTTCCTACATCCAATTCAACAGAAAGTGTCACGCGCGACGTCTCCACAGGTTCTCCCAGACCATTTATACCTGCTTCGCTCCGTTGGGTGATTTTCAATCACTTGGGTAATTTGTCGCATCCAAGTATTCGAGCTACTCGGGAGCTCATCGGCCATAGGGTCGTGTGGCTTAATATGAATAGGGACGTCACTAGGTGGGTTCGTGAATGAACTGCGTGTCAAAAGGGCAAAGTCCATCGACACACTGTTACTCCTCTCGTTTATTTTTTGTCCGGATAGTCGGTTCAGCCATGTTCACATAGACCTCGTTGGCCCGTGGCCTCCGTCACACAATGTTTCGTATGTTTTCACATGCACTGATCGCTTTACACACTGGCCTATCGCCGTGCCGATCAAAGACCCACTCCGAAACCGTGGCTCAAGCTTTTCTCGAGTCATGGATTGCCCATTACGGAGTACCAACAACAATCAATACGGACCGCGGTCCACAGTTCCAGTCTTCGCTCTTTCGAGACCTTAGCCGTCTCCATGGCTCGACGCACATCGTCACTACCGTATACCATCCGTGTGCCAACGGTTTATTCGAGCGTTTCCATCGGCAACTGAAGGCAGCATTGATTGCTCACGGTAATCATCAAAATTGGGCAGAGCATCTCCCGCTCGTACATTTGGGGATCCGATCTGCAGTGAAAGAAGGTTTAGGCTGTTCAACCGCCGAAATGGTTTACAGCAGCCCTCTCCGACTCCCTGGTGAGTTTGTTGCTGAGCGAAATAAAGCAGTGAGAATATACCTAGCAATGTATGTTAATCGTTTACGCTTCTTTGCGAGACATCTTAGAGCTCAACCAACGCGTTTACATAAACGTGCATCACAAATCTTCCCAGTGCCAAAATATTGTGACTTCGCTTTCCTTAGGGTTGATCCCGTTAGGGTTGATGCCGTCATCAAGAGATTGGACCTTACCGTGGTGTGACGGTTTGCGCACCCCAAAGATCCATTGTGCTATACCGGAGAGTGTCCGGCGACACTCACAGAGTCTCTCACACCAGGTTGGTCAATGGTTAGAGGTCTGACGAACACAGTCTCCTGGCCCTCCAGGTTGGGGGTTGGAACATGTGGCGACTTGTTCCGTAGAAATGGTAATGCATTTGCATTTCCCGCCAAACACCGCTGCCTTGCGGTTAGGCTTTTGAGCCAAAGGCTTTGGTTGAGGACACTAATCGTCCTTCTGTCTAGGTGTGGGCGCCCTGACAGTATCCCAGCCCTCGTACAACCATACGGCAGTGAAGCATCAGTACCAACACTGATGTTGCTGTCTTTGATGATCATGATGAAACGCGCCCAACCTACCCATATTTCGACAAATTGACAGCCAATAATTTTGTTGTGCAAAATTGGTTCTCTCCGCTAGGTAGCTTATGTTTGGTGCTTTCGTCGGGGAACTCGCTTAAGAATTTTCGGTGTCTTCGTTTTCGATATTTTTAAACCCAGGTCGCACGTTGGCCGGAATCCAACAGCATCCTATTGATAAGCCTTATTAGAAGTAAATGGTCTCATTTAGCTAATTCAGACTTTCGTGATTTGCCTAGCTACCACAGTAAGGATGGTTCCGCTTTGCAAATTTGCGGAAATACCAGCTACGGCACCTTGAATAGCGTATCCACTACCAAATGCCTCAGACTTGAATGGATACACCTACACTCCAGTAAACCCGTCGTGGTCATACATATGGATTTTCATGGAGCATCCATGTCCTCCCGTCCAAGTAGAATCCTTTTATCTAACAGACTTACTGTTCAAATAATCAGAACTGTAAACTACGTGATGGTATTAGTCCTTTTTTATGCATCTGATTGGCGATAAAAATATATTTGTTGTTGATTTCACAACCAGGGTTTTGGGATGCGCGCTAATGTAGTTCGCACAACTCTTATTACGACCATCTGTGAATTTTAGATATCCGCCTCTCTTGGCCTGGCATCCTCAGAAATAACAGGTGTCAACCAAATTCCAGGTGTACGATAAATATGTACAAACTACTGGAATTAAATAAAAATTATCCATAGATATCTCTTTAAATGTTACATAGGCATGTTTTGTACATTTCTTGCCAATTCATCAAGTTATTGCCTAAA